CCCCCTGAGGGCATGGCCACGTGACAATCCCTTCTCCTCCATTCTCCTCCCAGGATCCTGGGCACGCATGCACACGTGCCCGGCGTGAGTTTAAGCCACTTGAACCACTGGGACTTGAACCACTGTCGACTACATGTGAGTCCAGCGACATAGCCATTACACCAACTGCTGGTCCTCCAACAGACTTCCCACCAGTCCTGCATCTGTGGCCAGGAAACCAGGCTACTAGGGGCAGAGCTGAGAGGCAGGTACAACCCACTTCCCACTCTATGCCTGTCCACAAGCACCTGTCACTCACTCCCTCACCCATACTAGGACCCACTCCTTATAGCTCATGCACAAGGCCTCTGCAACAGGGTCCTAGCAGACACTGCCCCACCAGCCCTGGCCCCAGGACGTGCCCTGGGCTCTAGGCCCCACCCAGAACACAACACACAAGCAGTGCACTTACTGACTCGATAGCCCAGGCCTTCTGCGTGAATCCTCTTGGCCATGAACTGTCCTTCAATCAGTGCTCGAATCTCCACGTTCCCAGGGAATGCACAGACCTGTCTCCAGGAGACGGTGGGTACAGAGTGAGAGCCCTCGCTGTCCATTCATATGTCTGTGTATTATCCTTCTTATAAATGTTATTTTCTTTACATTTAATTACTGTACATCTTTACAGCATACAAAATAAACATTATCAGGGGAACCAGCAGTTAGCGTAAAGGCTATGTCGCTGGACTCCCACGTAGTCGACCGCGGTTCGTGTCCCGGACCCGGTGGCTTAAATCTCACGCTGGGCGCGTGTGCGTGCGTGCCCAAGATCCCGAGAGGAGAATGGAGGAGAAGGGATTGCGGCGTGACCATCCCCCCTGGGGGGTGATTTCTCGCTTTCTGTCTCTATGTCTCTCTCTGTCTGTCTGGCGAGCGCACACGCCCTACAGTGAAAATCTCTCCAAAAAAATAAAAAATAAATAAACATTATCAGAATGAACACAATGCATTAGTCCAGTCGAAGATATCATCATACGGTTTTATTTTTTTGGAGAGGTTTTTGTTATAGAGCGTGTACACTCACCAGAAAGACAGAGAGAGACAGAGACTGAAAGCGAGAAATCACCCCCGAGCGGGGATGGCCACGCCGCAATCCCTCCTCCTCCATCCTCGTCTCGGGATCTTGGGCACACACGCACACGCGCCCGGGGTGAGTTTAAGCCACCGGGTCTGGGACTCAAACCGTGGTCGACTACATGGGGGTCCAGCGACATAACCATTATGCCAACTGCTGGTCCCACATTATTTTTTTAAAGAATTATTTATTTAATTGTCACATTATTTTTTAAAAGAATTATTTATTTAATTGTATTTATTATTATTATTTTAAAATTTGTTATAGGGCACATGCAGTTACCAGCTAGAAAGAGAGAGAGTGAGAGAAAAAGAGAGAGAGAGAGGAAGCCACTAGGTCCGGGACTTGAGCCGCAGTTGACCACGTGGGAATCCTTAACCATCATGCCACCTGCTGGCCCCATATTCTTAACTTTTTAAGCAATAGCCCAGATTTGGTCTTTTAACCACTAGCTTGGCCTGTCTCTCTCTCTCTCTCTCTCTCTCACACACACACACACACACACACAGAACTAGAGGTTTCAAGCTCACAGTCTCACATGTGGCTCACTATGGGGGGTCAGAGGCACCACTCAGATTAGTCTCAGGCAGCTGGGTTCGAGGCCACCACTCAGCTCTGTGACCTCGGATAAGTGACCTACATCTCGCTGTCACTCTCTCAATGAAACTGAAGGGATAGTGGCACCTGCTTTTTAAGGTGGTCATAATATCCGAGCCAGGCCACGGAGCCCGCGTATGTAGTCGATATTCGAGACTGAGAGCTGTGAGCACTGGGCACTGGGCATGCCCTTCAAGATGACACTGGGGGCAGCACTCAGGCTCACCCCTGCTTCTCCAGCACCCGAGGACAGAACCTGTCATTCTCGCCCTCACCAGCTACTGCTCTCGAACCCTGTGGCTCTTCTCCAGGTCCCAAACTGCTCCTTCTGCCTGAAGTCCACCCCACTCTTCTCAGGGTGAGACCTTCCTCATCCTTTGGATCTCAACCAAAGGCCACTGCCTCAGGGAGCCCAGGCCCATCTCCCTGCCCAGGGGAGTCCCCAGCCCTCCCACTGCATCTCTGCGCCATGAGTTTCTCCCTTTCCCAGCCAACGCATGCACCGTAACCGTGTACGCGTCTGCCCCCTTGCCCACTGTCCAGCTCCCAGGCTGTGGGCTCTGCAGAGCAAGGGCCACACGTGTCCCGTTCTCCTCCGTGTCCCCAATGCCTGGGACCATCACACACATCTGCAATAAATGAGTGACAAATACTTTCTTTCCTCAACAAATCCAGGACGATTTACAGGCAAGAGAATGGCGTGTCTTCTCTTTGTTTTGTTTTTTTTTTTTTTGGAGAGGTTTGTTTTTTTGCTACAGGGCATGTGCGCTCGCCAGACAGACAGAGAGACAGAAAGCGAGAAATCACCCCCCAGGGGGGATGGCCACGCCGCAATCCCTTCTCCTCCATTTTCCTCTTGGGATCTTGAGCACGCACGCACACGCCCCTTTTGGGGGTGGAAGGGACGGAGTGATTTCTTGCTCTCTGTCTCTCTGGTAAGTGCACGCATCCTATAGCAAAAATCTCTCTAAAAATATTAATAATGATAATAATTAATAATGCCTATCTCACAGAACTGCTTTGGGAAGTCGATGAGGAAGACGCAGAAAACCATGAGCACAGCGCCTGGATCCTAATGGTGTTCAATAAATGTCAAGAGCCAGGGCGTTTCCAATCAGGAGGAGGTTCATGATCTCAAGACCTGGGAGTTCATGGTAGGTGTGGAACAAAGTTCGCCAGGAAGGGCAGGCTCAGTGGCACAGTGGTAATGTGCTGCTCAAGCAAAATTGAACCCACATGGATGATGACAAGTTCTGTTCCCTGGTCAACCTGAGCCCACCGGAATGCACCCAGGACCTGGCTGGGAAGCAGCTGGGACCCTGCTGGCAGCGCTTCTCTTTCTCTCTCTGTATCTCACTTTCATAAGAGAAAGAAATAAAAACTCCCGGAACCAGCAGTTAGCGTAATGGCTATGTCGCTGGACTCCCACGTAGTCGACCGCCGTTCTAGTCCCAGATCCGGTGGCTTAAACTCACGCAGGGCGCGTGTGCGTGCGTGCCCAAGATCCCGAGAGGAGAATGGAGGAGAAGGGATTGCGGCATGACCATCCCCCCTGGGGGGTGATTTCTCGCTTTCTGTCTCTGTCTCTCTCTGTCTTTCTGGCGAGGGCATGCACCCTATAGCGAAAACCTCTCCAAAAAAAAAAAAAAAGAAAAGAAAAGAAAGAAAGAAAAACTTAAAAAAAATTAGGAAGGCCTGACAAGGAAACTATTGGTGATACCTGTGATGTGAGCCAATGTTAGTTCAGGGAAGAGCACTCGGGCTTTCTGCACTTCTCGAGGGAGCGGACGGTGTCTGTGCTTGGCCCTGCCAACTCCCCAGCATCTAGCATGCAGCTTGGCACATTCAAAATGTTCGAGGGTTTTTTGTTTTTGGTTTTCGGTTTTTCTTTCTCATTACTAGAGGCACATGCACTCACTAGAGAGAAACAGAGAGACAGAAAGAGGGAGAAAGCACCCCTTCCCCAGTGGGGTGTCGCCATGCTGCAATCCCATCTCTTACGTGTCTCTATCCTGTCAGGATTCTGGGCGCACACACACATGCCTGGCGTGTTTTACAAGCCACTGGGGCCAGGATTCGAACAGTAGTCAGCCACGTGGGATCTGGCTCCCTTAAGCACAAGGCCTCAGAAGTGTGTGTGACATTAATGAACCAGCGAATGAATGAAGGGGCACCATCTGATAGCCAAGTGTTAAACTCAATACCCCAAAATGGGATCCACAGAGCTCCACACCGACAACACACGTACCTCCTGGTCTTCAGCATTAAATCGGTAACGCCCAGTGATTTCAGGGGTGATTTCCATTACGTCGAAATAAAAACCTGAAACAAAAGCAGGAAGAGGTTAGCTATCGGCGATGGAGGACAAAAGCTGGGCTTCTTGATAGATTTAGAGGAGAGCCGGGTGAAATGACCCCGTCTCTGTGTGGCCCCAGATGAATACTGTCAGCTCCTTCTCTCCCACAGGACAGAGGGGAACTGGGAAGGCCCAGGTCATCATTTCTTTTATTTCTTGGAGAGGTTTTTGCGATAGGGCGCATGCGCTTACCAGAAAGACAGAGAGACAGAAAGCGAGAAGTCACCCTCCC